TCACGCATGTTCAACTTACCTCATGGTTCATTGAGAAAATGGAAGCCATCAGATGGAAATTTCCTCATCTTCCCAACAGCAAATCTACAAGCTGACATTCCTCTAATACCCTAAAGGAAATGTCTCTCTTCCTATGAAAGGCAATACTTCCACATGTGCTTGGGTTCACTTCCTCTGTTGTCTTTTCAAAGACTTCCTTTCTTTTATTATCACCCTTTTCTCATGCCTCTTCAAACTCTCCCTCCCCTACTGCACCAGTCTCATCAGCATATGAATTATAATCTAGTCAATCCTCTCATGAAAAACAAAAACAAACAAAAAGAAACAAAACCCCAAAACTCCCTTGAGCCAGTATCTCTTAACCTTCTTAAGATTTGTTTACACACACTGAATTCCCTTGCTTAGCTCTCATTCACCTTTCAAACTACTCTGGTTGGTTTTGGCTTCACCCCAATCCCCACTCCATTACACCTACTTTGCTAAGGTCACTATAAAAAAACCCACCAAACCCATTGCCATCAAGTTGATTCTGACTCACAGTGACCCTATAGGACAGAGTAGAGCTGCCCCATAGAGTTTCCAAGGAACGCCTGGTGGATTCAAACTGCTGACCTTTTGGTTAGCAGCCATAGCTCTTAACCATTAGGCCGCCAGGGTTTCCAAGGTCACTATAGTGGGTTGAAAAGTACCCCCCGACAAATATATCCAAAGGAGCCTAGTGGCGCAGTAGTTAAGCGCTCGGCTGCTAACTGAAAGGTCAGTGGTTCAAACCGACCAGCTGCTCTGTGGGAGAAAGATGTGGCAGTCTGCTTCCCTGCTTCCATAAAGATTTACAGCCTTGGTAACCCTCTGGGGTAGTTCAACTCTATCCCATAAGGTTGCTCTGAGTCAGAATCGACTCGATGGCAGCGGGTTTGGTTTTTTGGTTTTAAAATATATCCAAATCTTAACCTCTGAAACCTGTGAATGTGACCTTATTTTAAAAAGGGTCTTTGCCAATGTAATTAAGGATCTCAAAATGAAATCCTGGATTTAGGGTGGGCCTTAAATCCAATGACAGGTGTCCTTGTAAGAGAAAGGCAGTGGAGATTTGAGACACTGGAGAAACACAGGACAAGGTCATGTGAAGATGAAAGCAGAAACTGGAGTGATGTATCTATAAGCCAAGGAATGCCAACGACTGCCAGCAGGCATCAGAAGCTGCAAGAAGCAAGGAAAGATTCTCCCCTTGCGACTTCAGAAGGACCAAGGTTGTCAGGGCTGCCAGCACCTTGATGTTGGGCTTCTTGGTTAAGCCACCCAGTTGTGGTAATTCATTATGGCAGCCCTAGGAAACTACTGCAACCACCAATGACCTCCACGTTGCAAAACCTCAGACACGTTGCCATTTCCATCTTACACTTTGCAACAGTATTTAACTCAGTTGATTGCTCCTTCCTTAAAACACCTTATAGTCCTGGCTTCCAGGGAACCATATTCTGTTGGGATTCTTTGTGAATATTGTATTTTGCCTTACAGTTCCTTGCCAGCTCTTCCACTTCTGTCCAATCTCTAAATGTCTGCTCTTCTCCATCTGCATTCTCTCAAGTAGTCACATCCATAACTGTAGCTCTAAATATCATCCATATACTAAAGATTCCCAAATTGATGCCTCCAACTCAGACCTCCCAGTAGCTTCAGTCATGTGTATGCCATGCCTCCTTGACATAGTAGCTTGGTGTGTCACAGTAATCTTACACACGAGCAGATACGCATGAGCAAAACAGAACTTCTGATATTCACTAAACTTTCCTCCTGCCCGCCCCCTAAAAATGGTTCCTCCTCTGGTTTTCTACATCTGAAGAAATAGCATCTCCACCCAATGCAATTACTCAAACAGGAACCTGGGAATCATTCTTTCTTCTTACTCCCCCATCCAATTGATAAGCAAACCTTAATTTAAAATGTAAAATATATCTTGACTCCATTCACTTCTCTTTCCATCTACTGTCATCATCCTAGGTGATGTCATCATCACCACACTGTCATCTCTCATCTGGTCTCTTGCAAGAGCTTTTAGTCAATTCTCCACACAGCATCTAGAGTGGTCTTTTAAGAAAGAGATCAGATCATGCCATGCCTCTACTTAAAGCCCTTCAAAGGATTCCCAATGAATTTAGCACAAAATCCAAACTCTATAAGCCCTTTTGTCCATCTCTGTAGCCCTGCTCTGTCCATAATGGACCATCTCTAGGCTCCAAGAACTTAAACCAAGCTTTTCTTACCTTGGGTGATCTCTGCCTAGAACTCTCTCCCTCCCACTCTGTCCTGGCTGTCCTTCAGGTCCTTTCCTGTTTCTCCTGTTATTTTCTCTCCCATAGAACTCAATTCTTTCCACCGTAACATTTGCCACAATCTGTAATTACACATTTTATTGTGTTTATTTATGTACTGTTTCCCCCACTGGGTTGCTTTCAGAGAGCAGCTGTGGCTGTGTCTATTTCTCAGCACTGCACACAGAGCGCCTAGCTCAGGGGCAGAAACAGAGAGCATGCTCCATAAATATCTGCTGCATTAATTCACCTCTTCTCTTCTGCTCTCTGCTATCTCCTCCCTCAAAAGTATGCTCTAGCATGAAAGCTCTTCTAGTAAGAATACTTTAACCCAAAAGAAAAAAAAAATCCCACAATACCAAAAATCTGAATGTTATAAAAACCAGAAGACTTTGTTTTACAAACATATAAATTATTTTATTTACAAAGCCATGTTACAAAAACAAAAACAAAAAAAAAGGCAAAAAAAACAATCGCTCACTGGAGAATGTCTCCAGGCCTGGTGCTGAACCATGGCAGTATCAACAGATACACGTTTGTTTTTTCCTTTTTAAAACTGTAAGCCATAGATTTTACTATTTACACCTATTTTAGACATTTATTCTGCTTACAACATCACAGGCATGGAATGAATTCTGATAGTGCTAATACATAAAGGTGCGGGACAAAGAAGGAAAATCCTTAGTGTTACAAAACATGGACTGTAGAAAAGTAACCCACTCCGCAAGTGTGGCATTTGTTTAGAATGACTCGACATGCTTTCTTCAAAATTCTTCTGGAAAAGGTTCTAAAATCGGTAGTAGGAAAGGACAATTGAGCAGGTGCAAATTCTTGTCTGTGCAACAACAGTTATTTAATATACCCCATGACTGACCAGCTATGGAAAACCCACAGAGTTTTGTTAAAGTGCCGTGGGCCGACAGCATAACAAAATATAAGGTGTAAATAGAAAATTTCTTTTTTTCCTTTTTTAAAACAAGATTTCACTGAGAATCAGCAATAATAGAATATGCTGTATAAACTATTCTCTACAAAGGTTGATCAGCGTTATTTACAACTGGTACATTGATACAAAAGAAGGCATACAAGTTATCCAAGTCGCTTTTTTTTTTATGGCTGGCAGGTCTATGCATTGCGGGATGTGTAACAAACAACCAGAGCTTCGGAGCCTCTATGGCTGCAGACAAGTCACGAGATCTTCAGGCAAACGGGTGTATGCAGCTGAGGGGCTGGGAGAGAAGGCTGAGTGGGGTGTGCAGAACAGAAGTACCCAAAGGATATCACCCTAATAATGCTGTATAGGCTGGTCCAGTTTAACTCCATGGAAACAAACTTAAAGAAAGCCTTTTATTTGCATTCCACTTTTCAAGCTGCAAGTTTTCAATACATCATTATAAAGTAAACCTGTGGTTGATTATGGAGGAAGAAATACCGTGGGTTTTCCCTTTTTGCTCAGTTTTCCAGAAATGTCATCAGCTTGGTCCGAGCCAGTCTTTCACAATGTAAGCAGCATTCGGTGGGGAGCCTCTTTATTCCAGCTTCCAATTCAAGATGGATGTAGAGAGCGAAAATGTTTAAACCTATTGAATTGCTCCTTTAGTCCCTATCGAGACATTATTCCTCAGAAGCAGCCACTTAATCTCACAACCTTTGTTTTCCCTCTTCGAGTATAAGAGTTTATAAATCAGAGGGTTATTTTGTTGCTGAGATTTTTTTTGTTTGTTTTTGTTTTACTCCTGCAAGTTTTACAACTCAAAATAAATTATAAAAAACAACAGACTTCTAAAACCAAACAAGACCAAAATTGTGCAAAAATAACAAAGATATGTACATAGTTTTCAGTCTGAAGAAATGTACAATAAAAACATAATTCAAAGAACATTTTAAAAATATAAACATTGCTTAAACTTTCCTAAGTTTCATATTGTTTCTGAAACTATTCTGGTCAGTTAGCTCTGTAATATAGTAAAACATAAATTATTACAAAATTAACACTATAAAAATTTATTTTAAGAATATCTTCTAAACTTTTTTTCAAAGGGTCTAACCTTGTTTATAATTTTTTTAAACATTTATAAGTCTTAAAATCTGCCTTAATCTTTTGTTCTAAAAGAAAAAGTTACAATCTTCCCTTCAATTTGCAGTCTCTTTTCCCCAAAACGTAAATAAACCAGCATATAAGTGCACTTTTAACACTGTAGAAATAAAAATGAAATCATCTGAACTAATATCCTGGTACCTAATATCATCTCCTGATTTAAAAAAAAAAATCTTCATTTTATATTAAAAAATTTAGTAGTCCTATAAGAAACACTGTCAGTGCAATTCCATTGATGCAAATCACTCCGTTTGTCTCCCATCTCTGCAAATTCCAATCACATGATGAAACTTAACAGTAGTCTTGTCTTTGGGTTGGGAAAGAAAAGGAAAATTCCAGGGTGCCGGTGGGGGTTGTGCCCAGCTGCAAAAGTAGCATTCATTTCTGATTTCAAGATGAAGCAAAACCTCTTAGTAGCTCTGCTATTTGAAATAACACTAGCTGGACAGCTTAAGCAAAGTTACATGATTAACAGCATAAAAACCCATTACCATCGAGTCGATTCTGACTCATAGTGACCCTATAGGAGAGAGTAGAACTGCCCCATAGAGTTTCCAAGGTTGTAATCTTTATGAAAGCAGACTGCCACATTGTTCTCTCCAAGAGGGGCTGGTAGGTTCGAACCGCCAACCTTTCAGTTAGTAGCCGAGCACTTAACCACTGCACCACCAGGGCTCCTTGATTAACAGAATAGAATCCCTGTTTTATATTGTGAATCCCTTTCCTGATTATGATTCCCTATTAGAGCTTATGGTATTGCTGTTTCTTTCCAAACTCCAGTGTGAACAGTTAGATATACAGCCGCAGGGTTCCAACTTCTCTCTCTTCTGGCTCTTCCAAATGGCTCTTCTTTACCACTCATTCCTGTGGGGGCTGTATCAGATATGAGGGCATCTGATAACCTAGTGCAAGCTGATCTATGGGTGTGCTGATCCTGTGGTGTCCCTGGGGCCCAGGATGGAGGTGGGTTGGGAGTGCTAGTATTTGTTCTCACAAGGGGTCTGATACATCACCTAACCCTCCACGGTAGCTTGCCCCCTGGAAGCCCTCTTTCCTCCCCCTGCTTTTTTTCCCCTTGCCTGGCCCTGGAGGGCAGCTAGAGCACGTTCAGCAGCTGGGGGCACTGAGCATCCTCAAGGAGCGGTTTCCTGGCCTCTTGCTGCCTTTCTCTGGGATTCCTTCCTTTCTGGCTCACTCAGCTTTGGGCTCTTGCACACTGGACCCTGGGAGGGTTTCTGCAGAGAGGATTCCTAACAAGGGCAGACCAACACAATCACCCCTCACCCCTACACTCTGCTTCCTGTCACCATTCCAGGCCCATTCCAGCCCCTGTCCCTAACCCCATATATCCTTTCTGGGCTGGATAGTAGTATTGAGTAAACCACATCATTAAATGGCTGCTCTTCTCGATTTTGCCCATAGTATTTGGCTCCAGCCCTAGTGGGCCACAGAAACCTGATGAGGGCACCTTGCCCAACCTCCAACTCCCTGTTCTCAGCTACTCTCCAGCACAGGGTCCCCAGCACGCTGTTATGAGGTGGGCTAGTGAGAGCCAGCTCCTTCTATGGCCAGTGGGGACCCAGTAAGCGGTGGGTGGGAGGGAAATGGGGGAGAGGACAAGGAGGAAGAGGAGCATTTCACATCCTAAAGTTCAAGAGCTTCAGGCAATGCCAACCTGGAACTGACATTCTGCCATGTCTGCGCTCGATGGCTGGGGCAAAATGATGGTGCAACAGTAGCATCAGAAGCTGGAGTAGTGATCCCAGATCTGGAAAAATGTATAAACTGGTGGCAAATGAAAGGAAAGACAACGGAAACAAAACACTGGTATTGTTTTCGGTAAATCTCAAATTCACGTTCTTTTGCCTTTTTCTTTTTCTTCAAAACTAAAAATTGGTCAATTTTTTAAAAAAGAAGAAAGGCCAGAGCCACAGGCAGGGCACAGGAAATTGACTTTCTCCAACCACCCACTCCCTCCCTCCTCCTCTCGCCAAGGCCTCCTGGGGGCCAAGGCCTCCTGGGGGGATCCGGTGGCCAGGATTGGTTTGGAAGTGGCTTCATATTCTTGTTATGGAAGAGTCCTTATCCTGCTCGTTCTGTTTGTAGTCTTCTAGGAAAGAAAAGAAAAGCTTGTTTCAAAAATCATACGTTGGGGTTGCCCACCAAATTAAAAAACTGAACCTCAGTTTTCTTATCTATAATAAAAAGATAATATCCCCCTTCCTGAATATGGCAACGGGCAGCCGACATGAGCAAGTGAGATAATGGGTGTAAAGCTTCCCATAAATGTGAAGGAGCCACAGAGATCCCAGCTGTGGAGGAATATGCAGGGCAAATAGGGTGATGCCCATGGGATTCCTTTCTCTTTAGGAAAGTGTGATGTTTTCTTTTCTTTTTTTTTTCTTTCTATTCATCCTTTCCTACATAACCTATAGATGACATGGGAAATTATCTAAGGGGGAAGTATAGTGTCAGGTTAAGCATAGAGGCTATGGAGATAGGCTTTGGGTTCAAGTTACTTAGCCTCTCTTACTTCAGGCATCCTCATCCATAAAATGAGGATAATCATTTTGTCCTTCAGGGGGTTAAAAGGTTTTAATGAAATAAGATCTGTAAAGGGCTTAGCACAGCACTGGCAGAGAAAGGGCTCAACAAGTGGCAGCTATCATTATTATCATTATTACATTTGTTAAGGCTGACTGCCGGCATTTTGGGCTCTGGTGTACGGGGAGCTATGGGCACACACCTTGTGTAGTAAGGGGGGAAGTGTGGTCTCCGGGTATACTCAGCAACCCTTGCAGGAGGCCTGCCATAAACAGAAGCAGATGCCTGATGGAAAATATGCCTCCCTCCCCATCCCAGCACAGATGATGGGCTACAGGTGCTCAGGAACGAAAGGGGCACAATGACGCAAAAGGGTGGAGAGACCCTCCTTCACCAACGAGCTGGTGATTCAAAAACTGTTTTCCTATAATCTTCACCCAAGTTCTAGCCAAGATTTGTAGGAAATCCCCAAGGGGAAAAATGCAAACACACTGCAATCTGGTGTCTACAAAACATACAGCACATCTAAGGCAGCATTATCAACACAGTCATACGTACATAGTGTTACCTATCATGTATGACATGCACACCCCGACCCTCCCTGCCCCCCTACTCCATTGGAGAAAAACATATATTCACTGGGCTGGTATACTGACTCCTCTCACACCTCGAGTTTGTGAAAACTCCTGAGATAATTCTGAATATTCCCACCCTGACACCACATCTTGAATGGGAACTACAGGTCACAAGAGGCCTTCGAGAAAGCACTGATTGGGGCTGCCATGGACAAGGCCCTGTAGTCATCATCTCATTTAATTTTCACAATAACCACAGAAGTAGGCATCAGTTTTGCCATTTAACATGAAAAAACTGAGACTCAAGAGAAGTAATCTCTTGAAGATCACACAGCTGGTAACAACAATAGAACTAACACTTCTTGTTCATTTACTATGTGCCAGGCATTTTCTAGAGGCTTTCTGTGAATAAACTAATTTAATCCTCACAAAAACCATATGGGCTGGGGGGCTTTTATTATCCCCATTTTATAGATGAGGAAACAGAAGCACAGAGAAGTTAAGTGATTTGCTCAAGGGCACACAGCTAAAAACTAAAAGGCCTAAGTTTGGAAGCCAGGTAGCCTGATTCCAGAGTCCAAACTGTTAACTACTACACCAAACTGGAGACGAGATTTGAACCAGGGTCTGGCCCCAATGCCCACATGCTCCACCATGCTGATGACCCTATATACTTTTGCCCACAATAACTTACCTGTCGGTTGTGTCCTGGGCTGGATATGCTTGAAGGACTGGATTGTGACAAAGCTAGGCTGCTATTTTTCCCAACCTGAAAGACACCAGTGAAACCCTGCTCAGACACAGGAGCTGGCTTGGGGAAGGCAGTGGGCATGTTGCTAGGGGGAAGGAAAAGGGTTGCACTATAGCAGTCCTAAGTCGATTTGGAACTGGTGTTTCCATCTTAAATGGCAGAGAAAACGAGAATAAACGTTTCAGAGGGTGTCTTGCTGATGCCCCTCTCATCCCCAGAGAAAAGAGGACTAGTGGGGAACTCTTAATTCTGCTTCCCCAGGTGTAGAGACTGCAAATTTCAGGGATGGGATGAAGGTGTCTGGCTAGTGGCCCTGCCCCTCCTGGGAGCATTTAACTCATCAAAGGCCCAGCTTTTCCACCTGTGGCCAGAGTTCACACAGCTCATCCACCTCTGACCCTCAGTCCCAGACCCATCTTGTTTCTAGCTCAGACTCCCTTGGACCACCTAGGACAAAGGTTGGGTCTTTTTCTAGGTCAGTTTTCCTTGCTGGGAGACCTAGCTCACACCCTACTGTTCTTCAGAAAAACAGCAAGATGGTGCTGGGCTTCCCCTCTAGTAACTGGGGAAGGCAGGAAGCTCTGCCTCAGGTGGGTCCCTAGGGCAGCTGTACTGTTCCTCACCTTCCTCTGTGGTTGTTCTTGGCACACGGACAGGCTAGTGGCTCAAACCAGTCAATGCCTGGTACTGCCCCCACGTCCTTGCCTTAGGCAGTTTGCAAAGGCCACTCCTGCCTTTGGCCTATTAACAGCCTGTTCTCTACATTAATTGGCCATTGCCTAAAGGTATCTGCCTTACATTCTGAATCTTGTTTTTGCTCAACTTAATACTTGTGTGGGAAATTCTGGCTTTACACTTACCAGGCACAATCAAATGGATCCCCAAAGCATATATTAATCTTGGATTTCTCAACCTCATGCTGTTTTCCAATCTCCTGACACAATCAATCTGGGTCCCAAAAGCCTTTGCCTTTCATCAACACCTGGAAATCACTGGTGGCGACGCCAGCCAGACTTCCCTTAATGGTCTGGTGACAAGCAACAGGGATCACCTGCATTAGAGAACCCATGCTGACTAGACCTGAGGCAGTCGGTAAGTTCATCACTTTTTTTTGATTTCCCTCCTGGTAAGCACTCTCTGGTGGAGGTTTGACTGTTTCTTTTGCCTCTGGTTTTGGCTGATTCACTGTGCTTACTAAACATTTCATATGATCCTGCAGACCAAAGAATCAACAAAGCAACATTTACACTGTGCTCATGGCATAGAGGCTACGAGCCAAGCTGCCTAGGCTTAAATCCCAGCCCTAATAGCTATGTGATTTTGGGCACGTGGCTTAATTTTCCTGTGCCTCGGTTTACTCATCTGTAAAATGGGGGTTGCTGTTGTTGAGTGGGTGATGACTTATGGCCCAAAATGGGGATAATAATAAGTAACTGAAAGAGCCCTGGTGGTGCAATGGTCAATGGCAATTCAAAGTCACCCAGTGGCTCCACAGGCAAAATGGTCTGGCGATCTGCTCCTGCAAAAATTACAGCCTAGAAAACCGTATGGGGCAGTTCTACTCTGTCACATGGGGTCACTATGAGTAGGAATCGACTTGAAGCATACAACAACAGCCAATTAGTAAATGACTTCATGTATCTGAAGTGCCTGGAACGGATCCTCCCACATAAGTAAATGTAAGGCGTTAGAACTTTATCTAAAACGGATGAGGTTCTGGTACTCATCCACTTATTATATTTGCTACTCAAAGTGTGGCCTGCAAACAAGTACAGTGGCCCTGCCTGAGAGCCTGTCAGAAATGCAAGGTGTGCCCTGTGGGTGCTAACCCCCACCTTCACATCTGGAACTGGGGAGTCAGAATGGAGAGTGTGTCTGTGCCCAGTGTCTCCCGCTTGCCTTACCTTAGCCACAGTCTCCAGCTTGTCTGACCTGTGAATTCCAAACTTGCAGCTACTCATGTGTTTATTTGTGATTTGCAAATCCTCCTCCAGATTTTCTCTTGGTGAGGTTTTAACAAGTCTCATAAACAATGCCACAAAACATTAAAACTTTTTTTTTTTTTTAAACAACTGCCTCCCACTCCTCCAAAGTCTTGTCCCTAGATAGAGGCTGGGCTTAGGGCACGGCCCACTTCATCCTGTGGTTGCAAAACTCAGGCTGCTGCCACAGCCAGTGTGGACACACTATCCTCACAAGGGTGCGGCACCCCCTGCCCTGTCAGTCCACAGAGAACCCTAGGCCGGCCCCTCCCCACCTTTGCGCTCCCCTCGGCTGCCCAACGGGAAGAGTCCGGTGTGGGGAGTGTGCTTTACTAGGAAGCTTCCTCAGTCTGAGGAGAAAGACTAAACTTGAGGATGAGGATGGAGCTCAAGGGAAAGAAACACATACTCTTCTTGGATCCTGCCGCATTTCCCCAGCTTTCCTCACAATACACACTACCATTTGTACAGGGTCACCGAACTCTCCTTTGCCAGGTGGCGTGAGTTGCAGTTTTACTTTAGCAAGGACAGAGTTATATTAGGAAGAGGTGGGGATTGAGGCAGCATGGTAAAGTGAGAAGCGCAGTCACTTGGCGGCCTCAACACATGGGCTGTGTCTCGACCCTACCACTCCCCAGGTGGGACCCTGGTCTTGTCATTTAAACTGGGCCTCAGGCTCCTCTTAAGGGGATTCCAATAGATCAGATACAACTTTTTAGCAACAAGATTCTAATAAAATCATCCTCAGAACCTCAAGATATAAAATAGATAGAAGTGGAGTGGGGAACTCAGAATCTCTCTGTGCCTCAGTTTTCTCATCTGTAAAATGGTGATAATAATCATTCCAACTGCATTGGGCTGTTGTGATGAATAAATGAGGTAATACTTGTAAAGTGCTTAGAACAGTGCCCTGTACATAGTAAGAGCCACATAAAGTATTTGTTAAATAAACTGCTCTTGAAGCAGAGGGTGAAAATTGTCTATGGGGAGAATGGTAACAGGAGTCAGGGTTATGGCGTCTGTCAGAGCCACCTGGCTAAGCAGCGGTGCCACCCAGTTCCCCTTACCCCCCAGGGCCGATGAAGGCAGTGCCAGGAGGCCCCTGGAAGGATGGCTCCCTTACCTGCCGACAGGAGGTGCTGTTAACGGGATCGGGCACCGGTGCGAGAAGACTGGGCGGGTTCTTTTTGTGAACGCTATTCATACCAGACATTTTAGTGATTTTACATGCTTTGCTACTAGCGCTTGAGTTCTTACGTTTTTTTCCTTCTGATTTGTCAAAAGAGAGGGGCAGAGAAGACACGGCATTGTGTGAGGCCAGAGAGAGGTCCCCTGCGTGGAGCGCAAGGGAGGGCACAGAGAGGGGACAGGAGTCACTGCCACCACCCACCGCGCCCACATGTCTCACTGAGTCCGCGGGGCCGCCGGGCAGCGAGGTCCGTCCTGAGGGCTCCAGTTTGGCACAGAGTGGGCTCACCCCATTGTTTGAGTTGTGCACAGACAGACTGTTATAGGAAGGGGCTGCCTGATAGGAGTTCAAAGCTGAACTGGCGTTCAAAATACAGTTCTTTTTGTGAGGCCCTGATAATGGAGACGAGAGGGATGTCTGCAAGGATAGTGAGGAGGAAGAAGAAGAGGAAGTCGAAGACTGCGGCTTCCTCTTTTTGTTACTTGGAGACTCGTTGCTACGGGCGGACAGGTCTTTGACTTTTGAGGATTTGCTGGTTTTGGTTTTGGATGGCTTGTGGGATGGGGAAGGGATGACAGCTGGTATCGGGGACACGGCAGAGGGGGCCTTGAAGGTTGAGTCCATGATGCTGAGGGTTGCAGCCACATGAGGGAAAGCTGTGGTGTGTGACATGAGGGCGCTCGGGTCTGGCGATGTCACAAAAGCTGCATTTGAGAGCATGGCGGATGTCATTATGTAAGAAGAGGTGAGTCTTGAGCTGATGGGAGCTGAAGGAAGATACACAGCACTGGGGTTGCTGAAAGGCTGTAGGACTGATGCCGGAACGGTGGTGGTGATGTGGGCTGCTGGCGAGGGCATGGGGCTATCTGCCGCAGGAGGGATCTTCCTAAACATGAGAGAAGAGTGAAAGAGAAACAGTGAGAAATAGGGTTTGCATGGCTCAGGAGGCTCCGATTAAGTTTGAGCACCAGGGCTACAGAGAAGACCCCAGCAGAACCAGACTATGGAAAATGAAGCCTTGAAGGATGGTAAAATCTGAATTATGGCCCTTCCTTATGGCTCCCCCATTGCAACACCCAGCAACCTCTTTTTAAACACTTTCAGGCTTTAAGTCTTATTTTCCATGCTTTGATACTGGATACTGGCTGATTTGGGTTCATCAATAAAAGGCAAATGTTATTTAGGATAGAAATTTCCCCAATAAATATCTACACCCCCCACCGCCCCCAAATTTTGGATTTTCGCAGTGATGGAGGTGGTATTTTAATGCAAAGTGGTCATTTTACACATAGGTCCTGGCCTGAAGAAGTGCGAGGAAAGAGCTTTGCTGCTCGCACAGGTGGGCTGGAGCTCTCTCCCTTCCTCATGCTGGCCCTCAGGGCCCCCAGTGTCCTCTAGATCCTTGCTTTCCCACCCTACTCTTGGCTGGGAACAGCCCTCTCCCCGCAGGCCAGTACCCTCCACGTTTGCTGTCTGCAGCCTGGCTTCCTCTGTGGAAAGGCGTTTCCACGTTGGTTTATGGCCACTGGCTCCTGCTGGCCTGGCCCTGGCGGCTGCAGGGCAGTGGAGGCTCAGGGACTTGGGAAATGACACAGATGCCAACTTACCCGTATCATACCCAGAAATGATTTATTTATTTTCCCTACTCACCCTATCCCACCCAGCTCTCCCCAGGAGGAGCTGTAATTGGGGCATGGGCTGCTCTTCACTAGGTCTTCCTGTCCCTGTGTAAGTAAGGGGCGAGAGTGCAGGAACCCTCATGTGTCCAGAGAAGGGCATCAGGAACTTCTAGTTTGTTCTGAAGATAAATGCAGGATATGGGCAGGAAGAGAACATATAGACAGGGGAGGGTGAGAGAGACAGCTACCGTTTCCCTCTTGGGTCTTCCTGGAGGTTGCAGAGTCTGAGAGTAGATGCCCTGCCTCCTACGCTCTGTGAAGCCAAGGCCAGCACCCTGCAGTGGGTCCCTCTGGGGGCCTCTCTGCCAACTCCATCTTTTGATTTGTGCTGGAAACAGCTTCCAGTTCCAAACCACGGCCCGGGTCAATGCTGCTGTCTCTCTGGGGACCGGGAGGAGGCACAGGGGCTTGGGGTCACCATTTGTGCCTGATTTTGCAGGAAAGGATATTAACCTCAGGAGCCAAGTGAATGTCTTCAAACTGGTTCTTTCCTATTTCTCCCCTTGCTCTCCTTCCCTCTTTCTCCTGAAGATAATTTTCAGTGTTGTTGGGGCTCCCCAGCAGTTAGGAACTAGCTCCCTCTCTTTGAAAGCAGCACTTGAAGCCTCCTTACACAGTCCCTTCCCTTCTCTTGGAGGCCACCCTCCCAGCTGTGGCATCAGGAATAGGTGCCAGGGGACTCTGGGAGAGAGCCCTGCTGAGAAGTAAATGCCCCTCCTAGCACTCCTCTCTCTCTCTGAAGATTCCATTTTCTACCTGCTACTTTACTGGAGCCTATGGCTTCCATCTTTAGGGTAGGAACTGGAGAAATCCTTGAATACACAAGCACAGCATTCTTGAAAATCTCAGACCAAAGACATCCACTATAAGAGAAAAATGTCGCCAAAGTCAGTGACCATAATGGTATTTTAGAATCTACTTTCTCTCAAGCCTAAAGAATATAAAAGATCCTGAAGGTACTAATCAAGGTGCTCTATAAATTCTGTTGCAATGATGAATGAGTGACTGAATGAATGGATGGATGGGTGGGTGGATGGGTGAGCAGGTGAATTCTCAGCAGCCACACAACTATATTGTCAGGGACTTTGCATGCTGGGCAAGGACTCCCATGTAATCAGACCAGAAGGGTCTAAACACATCCTGAGAACTGTCTGGCACTGCACAACCTCCTTCCTAATAGGGCTGGGGAGCATTTCAGCTTGAGGAGTCAGAAAACTTTCCCTCCTGTCTGTTGCCTTGCTGTGGCATTATAGGCAACCTACTCAATCTTTCCTTGACTCAAGTTTCCTTACCAGCCAAAGAAGGTGAGAAATACATGGGGGAAGAGGTTTGGCAGTTACTTGTAACAAAAAGTTATTTGCAAATACCAGATGGCTCATTTAGAGCGGACCCCAATCAATGACCTTAAGTGGGATTTATTTTTAATGCCCCAATTTATAATGTTCCAATTAAATAATATAAATTCATGTGTCAACTTGTGTTGAGTTGAAGCGGGGTTGAAGTCCTAAGTTACCTGGCTGACACTCAGGATTGGGATGGGTGCTGTTTTTCAGCACACTTTCTGTCCTTTCCTTCCTGTTCCCACTAATCATAAGCGGGTACCAGGGGCAGGCAGGGCAGGCAGGGCAGGGGAGAAGCAGGGAAGCAGCATGTGGACAGCTCGCTGTCCCCGGGAGCCCTTTCACCCCTATGCTAAACTGTCTGTGTTTGTCTAGGTGCCAAACAGTGTGGATTCCAGCTTTGTGGGCTGTGCCCTGGGTTAACTGTTGCATATCGACCTAGGGAAGTCCCATACAAAAGCCCATAGATGCGAATAAATGACTGACAGTGCCCCTCCGCCCCTGCCAGCTGGCACGGAGGTCTAGATGCTGACCTGGCTGAAAGAGAATACTGTGTTGGCGTCTCCTGATGCAGAGTTAAATGCTTGTTAAAGAAAAAAGAGTCTTGGCCGTTCCTTTTCTTCCTAATGTCTTCCACGCCCCCATCGGCTGCCATCCCTCTGGGTTCGGGCCCGTCGGGGCCTGGGGTTTGGGCAGCGAGGTTGAGAGGGCAGCGAGGTGCTACGCTCTCCAGAGTTGACACCCAGGCAGCCCCAATGTTGCTCAGTGACAGCAGATTGGTTAGGCAAGTCCTGAAAAGGGGGGAGGGACCTGATGCCCTGTGGCTCGGGCTTCTGTGCCTGAGGAGGAAAGGAACATGGAGCTTGAGCTGACAGGACACCAGGGAGTGAAATACAGATCAACACATTCCTGCCACGTGTCCAGGACTTTACACTTCCATAACACAGGAGGAGCAAAGAGCTGCTGGATAAATAACCAGATCACTGCGAATGAGGTCATCCCACGTGTAGCGCCAATCGCTTGCTATTTTAAGTGGACACAGGTATACCAAGGGTGCCTTTTAGACATACAGGGCAGTCACTTAAATGGGAAGAAACAATAAGCTTCTCTTGTGGCCCTTTCCGACTTTATATTAAGTATCAACATTTGGTCCTGAGCCCATTATGAGAGTTTGCTGCAGACTCAATGGAGCTTGCTTCTAGAAGTTCAGCTCTGGAAGCTTTTTGGGAATCATGGTAAAAAGGAGCTGAGGTGTCATAGCTGCCTGGTGGGGAGGGGTGGGAAGCTGGGAGAGTGCCAAGTTTTGAATTCTACTCCCACCCCTTGGGCTTCCCTGGGGCTGGGGGGGCGGTGTCTCAGCCACTCCTCATTGCTGGTGGCCCTCCTACACCATCTAGCCTTAGGCTGAAGTGACCCATGATTCTAATGGATTATGAGATCTTGAAAGCTCACCTTTCTAGTGGGGGGTATGGTGGGGGTCCCCACAGGGTTGGCCTTACATTCTGAAGTGGTGGAAAAGGCCGCTGCTTATGTGCAGTGGGTGGAGAGGATCTAGGCCTGTCATTCCTTCACAATAGCATTTTACTGAGTCAGGAAGGTCTCTTCCTTTATTTTTGAACCCCCTGTTAAAATGTAAGTACATTGTGGAGTGTTGGAGAATAAGGGACCTTAGAGAAATGGAATTAAGTTGGGGTTCAGGGTAGAAAGAAGTATGAGCAGAGGTGAGGAGGGGTTGCTAGGGAGGTGGGAAGGGCCAAAGACAAACTTAACCAGCTTCACAGCATTGCTCAGGATCTGCCCTGTTGGCAACTGTACGTATTTGTTTACAGGACATTCAATAATTAGAAATTGGTCTATACCATTATGAAATCTTTAGTGTTAGTGTAGCTTACATCACAAACAGAAGCAAATTATTCATATCCTTAGATGTTATTAGTCGTAACAAAAAGGCCCTTTTGCACGGTTAAGTAAACCAGATCTTATCTAATGTCATTTTCATTTCGTTTAGAAGATTACCAACACAAAAATGATCCCCCATAAGACAAAACAGACAGCACATCCTACGAGTTTTTAAAGAGCCATAGGCAATTCATTAAAAAGAGCTGACATTTAAGAATTAATCATGAATCCTGATTTCAGAACCATTTTGTTCAATGAAAAGCCAACCCCTGACATTTACTTAGAAAGTTAGGGACCAGATAATTGTGGGGCAGCTCTGATCTTCTATTGCCCAGAACCCCCTTCACTCTCACTTACTTCCACATCTGTGAATTCAAGTGTTTCTCTACCATGGAGTTTAGTGCGAATCGAAAACGATCCCATCTTCTATCAAACACATAGTACCCTCGTCCCATGAGGCGACTCCCAAATGAGCAAAACTGTGAGGAAAAAAAACATTTTAATTTTGATTACAGGTTAATAAGCTAATATAAAGCATGCAGAGAAAATAACATTTGCATAAAAACACACAGGGGCACAATTTTACTCAAAATAAAGAAGCAAATAGTACTAAAGCCAAAAATATTTCTGCGGTGTTTTAGTTTGAGCTCTAGGTTTTCTGCAGAACCTCGCATTATAACTCAACAATAGCTGCATTCAATTTTCTGTGGCACTGAGGCCTAAATTCTCTACTCCTGGGACTGAGCCAGCAAAATAGGTTATTAAAAAAAAAAAAAAAAAAACCCAAACAACATCCAGCAGCCAGAGTGATTTCTCAGCACCATCTGCTCATCCTACCATCCATCTTCTCAAGGAACACTGTGGCTCTGTGTTTCTCATGGCAATGGAAGCTGCTTGTTCTGGTGTTCAAGGTCTCCTGCCAACCAGTCACACATTTCCTATCTGATGTCAACAGAGCTACTTCACTTCGAACTACGCTAAATGCCTTTCTCTCCCAGTTCCCACCTCATCTCTTCCTCCCATTGGCCCTTGCAGGCCCTGGGAAACATTACCGCCTCTAAGCTTTTGCTTATGCTGTTCCATCTGCCTGTTGTCTCCTTCCCTCGCCTCCCTGCCAATCCCAATTCTACACTTCTCTTGGTGCCCTAACAAAGACTCTCATTTTCTATGACTTTTATCTGATTAAAGGTCCCTGGGTTTGCGATTGGCTGCTAACCTAAAGGTTGGCAGTCTGAATCCACCCAGTGGCGCCACGGAAGAAAGGACTGGCAATCTGCTTCCGTAAAGATTACAGCCAAGAAAATTCTATGGAGCAGTTCTACTTTGTAACACACTGGATTGCCATGAGTCGGAATCAAATCCATGGCAACGGGTTTTGAGTTTGGTGTCTGATTAACCTTTCCACCTTGACTCCCATAGCACATCCTACTGCATTCTTTATTCTCTATCACCTTGGTCACTGCATGGCTGTTTATTGCTACGTACAGTGCCTGATACACCTGCCTAGGTTATAAAGGTATAATTGCCGGGACCCTATTCTCTTCTCCTCAGTAGGGGTTTGCGCTAAAGAATGGACTAGGGAGACAAGGTCCCACAAAATGTGTAACCATTACATTCCAAACATGTGGCTGAAAAATGAACACTCAGATGTTTAAAAAATAATGTTTGATTATGATGTTAGGACAACTGGAAGGCCAGTAGACAGAAATGCAAGAAGCAGCCCCTGAGAAGGTAACATTTGGCTGGTTGAGAGCTCAGGCGAGTCTGCAAATGACTCTGTAACTCAAATGCAGCTTCTCTCCCTTCCTCCAGGCCTCCCAGCAGCTCCCTGGCCTCAATCCCAGACACAGTGCTGGATTGGCACTCATTCCACAAACCTTCTTGGAACCAGCCTTCTGGAATAGTTCTCAGGAGGAAATGCAAGACTTTCCCTTTGTTCTGTTTTTGCTTGTGCTTTGGGTGTTTTGCATTAAAATCTTGCCACCCATCAAATCCTTGCCTGCTTCTAAAAAGCACTTTTCTGCACCTTCATATTAAGTGTTTACTGACCAAGCAAGAAAACATACAAAGGCAATTGTCCAGCATGGAAGCTAGCCCCCAGCAGCATATGGGAGCCGTTCCAGGTCTGGACCAACATTTCTTCTTTTATCCCAATTGGTAAAGACACTGAGTGAGTGTTCATTGCAAAAAGTGATTTAATGTATCAACTGACCATGAGAGAAAGGACAAAGCAAAGAAATAAATCTATGGCCTTCCCATTTAAATCAGCAAAACATTAAGGGCACACAATTCCAGGCCCACAGTTGAGCTAATCCACTGTGGCCTGGCAGCTTTTCACTGGGACAAATGTCTTGATGCACTCAAAAGTCTGGCTTTCTGATAGAGTATCGTCTCCATTTCAGACTTGGATGCCGGAGGCACCTTTTTGTCTTGGTACCTATGTACTGAATTCAGTACAAATGCAAGGCTAGCTGGCCCTGACAGGCTGCTGTTCCCAGCTGGCATATCATACCCTCAGCAAAGTATAGATCCTCATGGCATCGGACACTGTGGCTGACCCTTCTGGCTGTCAACCTCATCAACGGCTGCCTCACTTCCATCTCTCCTTGTCTTTTTCTTTGTATTATTATTTTTTAATATTTTACTGTATTTTTTGGATAAAATTTACATAGCAAGTTAGGTTCTCATTTAACAATTTCTATACAGATTATTCAGTGACACTGGTTACACTTTTCACAATGTGTCAGCATTCTCACTATTTCCATTCTAGTTGTTCTGTTTCCATTAACCAAGCTTTCTTGTCCGCCCTTACGTTCCCATCTTTGGTCTACAGTAAATGATGACCGTTAGGTCTCATTTAGATGGTTGTTTAGAAGAGCACAGTACTCATCGGTGATATTATTTATTTTATGAGCCACTCTGTCTTTTGGCTGATAGGTGACCACTGGGAATGGTTTGAATTCCAAGTATGAAGTGTATCCCAGGGCTACAGTCTTGGGGCTTCCTCTAGTTTCTACTGGTCTAGTAAGTCTGGCCTTTTTTTTAAAGGAATCTGAGTTTCTACATTTTTCTCCCATTCTATCTGGGTGCCCACCTTTTTCTTGCTAATAGACCCACACTTTTGTTCTGTTGTCTGACATGCAGCAGTGGGCAGGGAAGGTAGGTTGGCTGGTTTCAGCCTGTGTCACGGCCTTCCCATCCTTCTCTGTCCCCAGGTGGTCTCAGGGTGGATACATGACCCATTTCTGGACAACGTAGCTGTAAGGGGAAGTCTGCTGGGGGTTTCATAGGAAGATTTCTTTCCCTGACATAAGACAGCATTTTGGAAGAAGGCGCCTCTGTCTGTCCCTTTCTGTTTTTGTACCATCCTGCTTAGAATGGTACTGGGTGAGGATGTGGTACTGTAGCTGTAACAGACATACTGAGACCATGCAGGAAAGGCCAGTGGGGTTCCAGACACTCTCCCTCAGTCCCATGACATTGTGGAGATGTTGAGCCAACCTTGGAACCACCTAGCTGTAGACTTCTGGTTATGTGAGATAATTAAATGTCTTTAGCACATAAGCTGTGTGAGTTGAGTTTTCTATTACTGGCAGGCAAAGACATCCCCACTAGTCTCTGACTATGCCTGTACTGGCCAAAAGGCTGAGGCTGTGGGTGAGCCACAAGTAACCATCATCCCCAGAAGCAGGAAGTGGATTTGTCTTTCATCACACAGATAAAAAGGAGGAGACTCTCACACTATCTTGATGTTGATGTAGGATTGATTGTACTTATATAATCCACGAGACTGAGGGATAGTCAACGCTGACCCTGCAGGGCTCAGGCTGGTACCAGAGCAAACCCACCTGCATTTGGCTCCGTGAGGGTAGCACCAGGCATTCCCTTTTCAAGAGCTCATACAGCAAACATACACTAGCCTCTCGCTAATGCCTCCTATATTTCCCACCTTGATTCCAATGACCTTCTGAATTGTTAGACACTTTGAAGCAATTGAGAAGAAAGTACCCTTTTGATTAATCAGCAATCATGCTGACATGAAATGCTTCCTCCCTCCCTCAGTACACACACACACACACTCACACACATACACAGATACACACTCACTCACTACTTCTGGTACCATATGGTCACCCTTACTAATCACCATAAAACACAGAACCAACCAGGGCTGGCATCTGGCACACTGCTAAGACAGACGGTTTCCAGAGCAGGTGAGCCAGATGGACTCTTGAAACCAGAGGCTCCATTTTTAGATGGGTAGGGCCAGAAGGTCAGCTCCCAAGTGCACTTATATAAACACCATTTCTCAAGTGTTCTTGCTTTAAGGTGGACCACAAACACTCAGGTGTTTAAAGGAGTATAATCAGCTGGGAGCCTTTCCTTTCCTTCTGTGATTTTCAAGGGTATTTCTAAGGCAATCATCGGCCTCAGGGTAAGCCTTTTCATAACACACAGTGGCTGGTGGCCTCTCCTTAGGAATGCATGCTGTCTGGCATGACCAACTAAATGCTTCAAAGCACAGGGGAAAAGGAAAGAAAGCGTAGAAAGAAACAGACAAGGCCTACCGCAAGAGGTCTGGGATGGTGTGTGGAGAACTGACAGTCTAACTTCTCGGATTCCTCGGCTCCATCCATCTCCCCCTCATCACTGGACAGTCGGCTGGCGAGGTCACCTCCAACGGGGGCCAGAGGGGGTTCTGGAGTGTAGCCACTGTGATTTGAAGATGCGTTGCTACTTATGCTATTTGCAGATGATGGTCTAGGGGCAAGAGGGGGGAACAAATAGAATAAATATTTCTGAGGTAACAACATCTACCCAGTTTTAGGAAGCTCAGAAAACAGCCCCGTTAGCCTTCTTGATATATCAGGGAGGGCAGGTCGATGGCAAATGTGTGCAAGGGAAAACGTAAGGCTAAGAGGGTGAGTAGTGACCAGCTCTGTGATCCAGCGGAGCTGAGGTTCTGCCCTGACTGCTGCCTCTGGGACAGACAAGGCACCAGAGAAAACCACAACAGTGAAAGCTGAGTGTAAAATATATAATGTGACGGTGAGCTACTTGCACAGACAAGTTACCATCTATGGATTCGGTTACAAGTATCTGCCTGTTTGCAATTAAATAATCTGTATTCACATCTAGTTGCTTCCTTTTGAAAGTGGAAACACTTTGAAATGTGCACTGGTGAACCTGACAGGAAGATCAACCAGGTAAACAAGTTCAAACCAATCAACAAAATATCAGTGATCAAGAAAGACAGCCCTAGGAACCATGTTCATTGCCTGAACTCCGACTTTATGAAATTGTTAACATATTGGCACAAAAGAAGGTTTGTCTCAATGATGGGCCCACAAGTTCCTTAACTGACAGCTATGTGTTTCTTAATATCAAGCTACATGTAGCTTAATTGTATCTTCTGAGGATGAACGTGTCAATGTATTTTTTGATAAGATGCTTTAACCACTGCCTGCCATGCTCGCCTCATAGTAGGTGCTGAAGAAATCTTTTTCTGACTGAAAGAATGAATGAATTTCGCATGTGTAAAACAATCCAGTCAATCTCATCTCAATTATGGCCGCTGTTGTTGTTAGGTGCTGTGAGTCAATTTTCAACTCATAGTGACACCAATGTTCCAGAGTAGAACTGCCCCATAGGGTTTTCTTGGCTCTAATCTTTATGGAAGCAGATTGCTGGGTCTTTCTCCCAAGGAGCTGCGAGGTGGATTCAAACTGACAACCTTTCAGTACGCAGCCAAGCACTTCACGGTTGCCCCACCAGGGCTCCTTCAGTTACGGCTAAGCTTATGGTAAAGCAGTGTCACCCTAAGAGGCAGCACTATGTGTTTCCTAAGCAGCGAAAAACAAAACAAGGCAAAAATACAAACAAAAATACCCACATTAGTAGGTGAGTTAGAAGAACAGTCAGTTAGTTCTTGGCAGTTTTTACTACTTCTCCACCTTTGTTAGGTGATTGATCAGGGAAAGGTGGCCAAGACAGACAGAAAACGGTTTGGGGAAAAAAATTAAGATCTTTTTGAAAAATTCATTTTCTGCTTTGAAAGCTGCCCCTTCAAGTCACATGAAGGAGCACTGTGATTTGTCACCCTTCTCTTTCATTTTCACCCTGGATTCTTTGTTGCTTTGAAATTTTTATAGGTCGCAAATACCTGAATGCAAGCCAGATTCCAAACGCACAGTCATTTAAAAATAAAGGCACAGGTAGCTTTTCAGCATCATTACAAGAACTATGCTGGTCTGACAATTTATTAATGACTGTCACCTTCCCATACTTATAAAAATAAAGATGCCATCGCTTTGCATATTAAAAGCGTTTAGTCCAGAGAACACATCTCCACAGGGTGGTCCCTGTAGGCAGCACTGCTATTGTCTGCTTATAGCTGAAAACTGAAATAGTGAAACAATTTAGGTAATGCTGCAACATATAAAGAAAGAAACAGCATCCTTAATCCTGCCACCCAAGATCAAGTGTTATTAGCATTTTGATTTACATCCTTCCAGATTTCTTTACTGTGCATACACATGCATGTGCATTTCTAAGCAAAAACTGGACCACACCATACATACTATTTTGAGACATGCTTTTTTTTTCCTACTAGAAATGTTGTAGGAATCCTTCCATGTCAATAAATACAGAAATATATCATCATTTTTAACATTCCATAGTGTTCCATAAACCAGCCAAAAATCAAACCTGTTGCCAGTGAGTTGATTCTGACTCATAGTGTCCCTAACAGGACAGAGGAGAACTGCCCCATAGGGTTTCCAAGGAGTGGCTGGTGGATTCAAACAGCTTACCACTTGGTTAGCAGCCAAGCTCTTAAACACTGTGCCACCAGGGCTCTGTTCCATAGTATAGATATATCATAATTTATTTAACTAATCTTCTACTGATGGACATTTAAGTTGTTTCCAAACTTCCTAACGAGCTCTTTTTTGAAGCCTTCCCCACCATGATAGGACCTCCATGTCCTGCCAGATGAAGGCCAGCTGATTTTGTTAAGTGTGATAACGGTACTATGGTTATATAGAAAAATGTTTTTAAAAGTTGCATTTGAGAATCTTCAGAGTTAAAGTATCATGATACCTGCAATCTACTTCAAAATATGTCAGAAAAAAAAAAGATGAAGCAAATATAGCAAAATGTTAACATAACAACTGTTAAAACTAGGTAATACGTATATGGATATTCATTATACTAGTCTCTCTACTTTTCTGTACATGGAAAAAAATTCATAACAAAAAAAAGAAGGAGAAAAGGACATGACCTGATAGTGCAGGCATGTGTAAGAAAGTGGCTGAAGAAATTCCTGTTAAACATGGCAGATGGGTGTCACACATTTATCTCTCTCCAACCCCAAATCCTACTATGACAGTAAAGGGTTAAAAAAGGTATTAGCCCTGAAGAAGAAAGAGATCAGGGAGGAGACATGATACAGGGGGGTGGTTATGGAGATGGCTTCCCAGCATCCATTTAACCCCTAAGCTAGTAACAGAAATCTCATTTATCTTGATAATGATTGATAATGATTCAGAAAAGGTATACGAAATAACAGAAAGTGGGCTTTTTTTGTGGCTGGGGTAGTATAGAGGAGCTTCTGGAAATATTTTTTTCTTATTTGAAAAGAGACACAAGGAAGAAGTAGACCCGACCTTCATCTGGACCTTGTTATATCTGGATGTGTCTGGAATTACTACAGCCATCTTGTTATCAGCTTTGAGGATGAAATGCAACACTGAAGAGGGTGGAATAAAAGAAGGGTAGAGAAGCAGAGCTAGCCCCTGACCTTTGGGGCCTGGTGCCCCTTTACCTCTGGACTTTGTGTCATGGGAGATAAGGAATTTCATAATTATGTAAGCTTTTGGTAGTCTAGACCTTCTGCTACTTGCATCTGAAGCATCCTGATACAAGCGTGAACAAGAGATTTTAATAAATTGTTAGAAAAATGATTTCTTCCTCTGGAGCAGGAGTGAGGTGCAGGGCTGGAAACGGTGACTATAGGCTATCCTTAGTCCCCTTCCCGCACCCTGCTCCTAGAATGCCCATAGCCAGGCATATCACCACTTCCCACACCAGGCAGGAGTGTGCCCTTGAGAAACTGAATGGCCTCAGAGAAAAGGCTACCAGACCTTACCTTTTCTGAACTTTCCAAACAAAAGGCTGATTGGTGACCTGATGTCCCACACATACATTTCGAATCAGCCTGTTGGAGCCTCTCTTCTAAATATGGATGGTTAGAGATCACCAAACATTCCTGAAGCATCTCCCACATGAAACTGACCAACCGAACATCAAACTCACAAACACATAAATGAAACAAATCTGGAGAAAATGAAGATAATGAAGGAATGAGAAAAAACTAAAAAACATATTAGAGATGATAGTACCTCTGCAAAATCACAGTGTCTTGCAGGGCATTATAAGGAAGAAATAATCAGAAAAAGAAGCAGATCCTAGAAAACGTAAAAGTTCATCATCTATAATGGTGGACACATGGCATGATGCATTTGTCAAAACCCATAGAAACGTACAACACAAAGAGTGAACCCTAATGTAAACCATGAAATTCAGTTAATAATAATTTATCAATATTGGGCCATCAACTGTAACAAATGTACCACAGGAATGCAAGCTCTTAATAGGAGAAACAATGCATAGGAGGAGGGGATACATGAGAACTCTATTTTCTGCACATTTTTTTGCATAAACCTAAAACTGCTCTAAAAAAATAAAATCTATTAAAAAATATAAAAAGTACAAGTCTGAAAAAAAAGTATATCATAAATTGAATATTCAATATACACTTCTGAAGGTAAAGTAAAAAAAAAAAAATTAGAAAATAGGACAAGGAGACTAAAAATTGGCCAATATGAGTAAAGAGGAAAGAGAATTAAAAGATCAGTGAAAAGGTTCAACATCCAACCAACAGGAAGGCAAGAAAGAGAGGATAAAAACAATGATGGAGAGAAAATTATCCTATTTTCACATGAAAATATCCCAGGCAAGAAGGACAGGTTTTTCCAGATTGAAAGGATCCACTGAGTACCCAGTTCAAGGAATGAAAAAAGACCCACATCAAGAGTCATCCATGTGAAAGTTCAGAGCCCAGGTTTCAGAGATAAAAACCAGTCACGTGCAAAGAAATAAAAATGAGAGTGAAATTAAACTTCTCAATAAAAACATTTGATGCTACAAGTCAATGGGAAAATGCCTTCAAAATTCTGTAGGGGAAATGATTTTCATTCTAGAGTTATATACTCAGAGAGACTATCAATTAAATGTGAGGGTAGAATAAAAACATTCAGGTGGGTGAGGATTTCAAAAATTGCCCTCCCATGCAGCTTTTCACAGGAAGTTAATGGAGACACTCCACAATAAAAGAGCAAAGTAAGAAAGAGGAAGGCATGGGATTGAGGAAAGAGATACTCTAACACAGAGAGGGTAAAACGATGTTCAAGGATGGCAGGAATTACTGCTTTTCACTCTAAGTCTTGTAGTACCATTTGATTTTTGAACTATATGCCTATATTACTTCAACAACAACAAAAAAGTTATTTAAGGAAAAAAGGAAAAAAAAAATGGTAGAAGCACTCCATAGTAAGTTCCAGTTGCCAGATTAAAGAGGAAAGGATATGAGGCGGGAGAACCCTGGAGAGGAAAGCTGAGCTGGGAAATGGTGTGCTCTGAGAGCAAAGGCAGAAACATGAATGTATGATTGTATGCACACGTGTGCACATGTACATCCA